CTCTTGTTGGCTTCCTTGCTGGCTGGGAGGCTGACTGGAAGCCATCTGATCTCATCGCCTTGATGGGCAAGGGCGCAAAGTTGAAGGGTATCTCTGTTGGATCGAAGAAGGATTTCGAAGACATGAATGCGTTTATTGAGGAAAAGAATGTGAAGTTCGATGTCATGCTGGACAGGACTTTCGGGTTTGAGGACGCGAAGAAAGCATTCGATCTGCAACTATCGGGTAACTTTTCTGGTAAGATCGTTATCAAGGTCGCGGAGTGAGGGGGTTGTCAGAACTTGGTTGCGATGCTTCGGTTTCCTCGTATTCGAGACTGCCTTTTGTTTGGATAACGAAAAACATCATGATCTACATGAAAATTGCCGGAAAGCGTTAAATGTATGGCCAAGCAAAGGGTAGAGCCTAGCGTATTGGTATGGCAGTGCCGTCATTGCTTACATGTGCATCTAGCAACAAGATTGCAGTGCTTATCCACTACCAACCCCAAAACAGCCAATACAATGTATGCGATGGCCAGACGATGGTGGCTCACCAGCTTACGCAGCCTCACCATCCTATCTGAATGCATCGCTTTTATTGGCTGCAACCCGAAAGCACAGCCTCCACAGCCTGTCATTACACCCTATCGTCCCGTCAGGCGTCCAGTCTCACAACCAGCCTTGAAGCTCCTCAAAATCGGGCAGAAGCAGGCTGAAAGACATATAGTGGTGCTGTCGCGCATTTAGTTTCACGGCTAATCTTTACACCCTCACACAGTAAACAGTATCTAGGTACCACTGAATCACAAAATATCTGAAATGGGTATCCCTACTACCCCACAAGAAGCTGCACCCGCATACGAAGAAGTATTCAACGACCATCCTGTGAACCGATGTGCGCCCTCGGGATCAGCTTCAGCTGTAAGCCATCCTATTCAACCATGTTTGAAGCTGTAAATTATCTAATGTATTGAACTGCTATCCAGTACGCAACTCTTCCCCAAACCGATGACCACGACATTGAACTTCACGCTCAATCTCACAACCATACAAGTTCCTCGATCGCAGCACCCGCCATCTCTTCTTCTCCAGAGACATTGGCACAGACAATCACCAACTTTCTACGACCTAATCCCGAGCCACACACGCATTGCGAGGTATGTGACAACCAAGTTCAAATCGAGGCGAGGCGGAGGCGGGAGGGTGAGAAGTACTGTTGTACCATGGTCGCAGCGACTTTCATGACATTATTTGTATGTGGCATGTTGTTGGGAGTGTCAATCGTTACCATGGCGGCGAAGAAAAAGACGTCTGAGGACTAAGAGAATGTGGCCTAATCGTGCGACTGAGTACTTAGGTATGTAGTGATCTCGAGAATCTAAACTTCCGGAACTTAATACGATCTGAGTCAAAGCACTCTACAGTAGGCCTACAATCTCATCCCTTGAACGCTCGACCAAAAGCATCTCTTTTTGCTCCCATTTTCGCGATCTTGAAGTCAACGCAAGATTCGTAGGTTTGCTTCGCAGCATTTCCATACCACCACCACTGCAACACCTATACTCTAGTTAGCAACCTATATGCATCATTGCGCCAAAACCAGTGCGCTCATGGTACTTACACAGTCACCAGCCACTGCACATTTCTCTTCCAATCCCTCGGGAATCGTTACACTAAACTCCCTCTGTCCAATGGGAACGTCGCTCTCGCTCTTTCCTGGGGCATACCCTTCTTCCCACACCTTCAACATATCCCCCACAATTTCGTTTCGCTTCGTATCCACGATACTCACGTTCGCCGACCCTTCGTGCGGAATTCGAATCCATACTTTGAGCGGGACCACCTGGCCAGCTGACCATACCTGTGTGTTGTTGGCAGGATTGTCGGAGAATTGCAGGCCTTTGCAGAGCCAGAGGTTGCAGGTGGAGGCGCTGTAGGGGGCGGCTAGGAGTTCGGGGAGGCCTTCGACATGCGAGGTGTTGTCATTGTTGATAGTGCGCGTGATGGCAGGACCACAGAGAGAGTTTAGAGTGGGACCAGTGGGACGCGAGGGGGGTGAGGTAATGAGGCCATGGGAAAGAACTCTGGGGATGAGAGTGAGGAATGTCGCTGTGGCTACGGTGGTGAAGTACATCTTGGGCAGCGCGCAAGATGCTTTTACAGAAATAAACCAGAAATAAACCAGAAAGAATGATAGAAACACTCTGCTTTGCACTTATGATTTCTGCGACGGACATGGCATTTTATACACACATTCTCATCGCCACTAGATATCTCCTCATATCTCCGCCTATACTGTCCCCTTGTCCGTGATTCCAAATCAAAAACCAGCATCATTGAGCGTGTCAATTTATCTGAAGACGATATATCGTTGTTGTGTGGATCCGCTATGGAGTGGATGTAGATCGCCAAGGATTAGCGAATGAGACGGGGATATGTATAGTGCCGGCTCGGTAAGGCTGCCTTCTCGCTGCCGGATAGTACAAGACAATATATTCGGGGAAAAGAAGCAAGGTTAATGTGATGGCTTGCCGATGTATAGCCGACCTGAATCATGAGCGATAGGTAATGTTATTCTGCTGTGCTCTAGCGGAGCAAGGTTAATGTTATCCTCGAGGCACAACACAAATTCAATTAAGCAATGGTTTACCATGTCATATGTCATCGTTATTAGCTAGTCGCATTGCAGGTATAGCATGCTTAACCATCTATGCTTCTATTGTACATCGCTTTGGGAGCTGTCAAAGTTCCCCTTTCCACGTGTCTTACTCCAGCAGAGAGGCTTGGTTGGTGTAGAGCACATCGACCACGTTGCTCAGCTTTTCAAGTGTACTGAGTGCCGCGTCGTAGCCTTGGTCACGCTCTGACTCGTCGTACACGATCAGACAACCCGCGCCCTGGTCTAAGACTCCAATGATGACCTTGTCAAGGATCATCTGCGAGAGCTTGCGCTCAACTTGTATCGTGTCGAGCCCGACCATCTTGGCGACGTGGTCAATCTCTACTCTGCTGAAGGGCTCGATGACCTTGATCAGGTTCTGCTCCAGCATGTTGTCGTACAGGCGTCGGAGATGGGAGGTGATGAAGCGGTCGCTGCCGAGCTGCTGACGGTAGTCGGTCAAGGCCGTCTCGTATTCTTCAAGACTGCGATTGGTGTGTGCTCGCGCTACGGCCTTCATGGCCTCTAACCGCTTGCCCGCGTACTTGACAGCGTGCTTGGAAGTCATGAGCGAGGTGACGTCGTCTCCAAGGTTGAGCATAATCTTGCACAGCAGCATGTACTGGAGTGCTGAAGTAGCCTTCTGTTCTTCGTCTTGTGAGTGGTACCCCTCCATAGCTTCGATGAAGTAGGAGAACGACGTGTTGAAGTCGCCGTCCTCTGCATGCAGCATACCACTCTGCATATCCAGCCCGGCTTGCAGCAGAGGCGGGGTGTAGACTGAAGCAGCTGAAGTCCGTGCCGATGTGAGGGCAGCGCGACCCTTTGGTATGTTGCCCAATGCATGGTAAACCCTTGATTCGAGGAGCTGAACCTCGACCAAGACCAACTTATCGTCCAAGCGCTTCAACTCCTTCAGTAGGCTGTTGATGAGTGTGAGGGCTTCGTAATAGGATTGCTTCTGCATGTACAGGGACACGAGTCGGGTTTCTAGGTTCTGCCGAAGGAAACCTCTCCGCTCTGACACGGCCCACTCTATGCATGACTTGGTGACGTCGATCTGGATGTCGACAGTGTTGGGGATGGCGGTGAACAGGTCAAGTAGTTGTCGGACTGCGACGATTAGCTGCAAGCGCTTGAATGTGTACCTGGTCATATCTTCTTACCCAATTTGGATGTCTTCGCCTTAGCAAAGGACGACATTATGGACCGCGCCTGCTTGACCAGCTCCGCCAGCGCATCCACCCTCTTCTGGTCACGGTACAGCTCACCAAGCCCGATCAAAGCACTCTCATAGTTCTTGATAGCAGTCTCATTCTGGCCTGGATCTTGTGATAGGACGTCTTTGAAGATCTGCTCGGCCTTGGAGGGATCCGACTTGGCCAGCTTCTGCGCCTCCGCTATCCGCGAGCTCGTTTCCGGGACAGCCATGGTGGTTCACTGAGTCCTGGTGGTATACGCGATGATTTGAGGTGATTTGTACGCGCGGGTCGTGAGGTGGAGCGTGCGATGGAGTGGCAGAGATGGAACTGTTTGGTGATGTTGAGCTCACAAGCTCACATGGAGATGCGGCGGATGCAAGGTCGGCGGTACGTAATTCCGACAGTTACGGTAAAGACGCCACACCGCCGCGCCACACATCCAGGGCACATGGCAACCGCAGTTCGGTCAACAACGCGCGACTAGAAGGGGCCATGATATCCGCTAAAAGCGTTCGCCTTAATGTCGGTTTGCTAGATCTATCCAACTTTGTGCAAGCAATTGGCGTATCATCGTAACGGGGCTATCCTCTTCGCGCCATTGCTGCCCCAGCGACGGCTGAGTTGGCAGTCGCGCCTCCATCGTCATCGCCTATTGGCCAGTGCACGTAAACAAACCCCAAGCTATTGATCAACACACCGCCCGCCCTGCATCTCCAGTCCACTTTCCCACACTCCCACCCTCCACGATATCACGAACTATTATATACCCTGCGCTGGATCGCTGATAGCTTTTCACGATCAATACCCTCAGCTGTATACCCCAATTCTACTCACGCGCTCTCAATTCAACTCGCTCCCACTCTCCACCTCACAACTACCATTTTGGGTTGAGCACACACCAGACCACATACCATAATGCCTTCATCAGACAGAGAGGTCTCCCGCGACCGGGAACTCGTCAGACACTCACATTCGTTCTCACAAGACAGGATGATCCCCATGTTCGTCTTCCTCACCGCCATGTAAACCCATCGCCGTGTGCCACTAACACCGTGCTTCAGGTGGGATAGTGCTGACCCAGACCGCGCACCTCCGCCATTACCTCTCAACCCAGGCTCACCCACTCTCGGCGTTCGTCCAAACACATCTGCGGCCATCATGAAGGCGGCCAAGGCGCTGGAAGAGAAGGCGCGAGAGAGTTTACCAGCGAGCTCATACACTACTAACCCCATGCCACAGAAGTTGCAGACGTCTCCCGAGCGATCTCTGATTAAAGGCACACAGCACAAGCGCATGCAGTCATTACAGCCGGGCAGCGTTCGTGATCTACGCAGCTACCTTGACAACCGCTCACCTGAGCGTGCCTATCTCGATGCCCGGTCGCCCGAGCGGTCGCCCGAACGCGAGCGACCATCGAGTAGGGGAGGACGGCCCATGTCAAGGGACTACGAGAGGGATTACTTTGGAAAGGATGCCGACGTGAGTCCTATCCGACAACTCACTCCTACACCAGCATCACGATTCGAGATCAAAGACACACCTGCCTTACGGCCTAGCCAGAGGGCCATCCTGGGAGAGAACACACCACCCTCTGCCACAATGCAGGCCTTGCAAAGTATGACCATTCCTCAACACATGCTTGACCCGCCGTTATCGAACATCACCAATCGCTCAGCGCATTCTTCACCTGCGGCTACGCCAGCTTCAGCTCCGGCGTCTGCACCAGTCCATGGACCACCGCCGCCGCAGAACTTCGATAACATCTCTAGTCAGCTCATGAGCATCAACAACATCGTCTCCAGCTTGCAGAAAGACATGTCGCAGCTCAGCCGACGGAGCAAGGACAATGCCACTGATCTTATCAGCTTGAAGGAAGCCACCAACACCCGCGACGAAGACATCCGCAAGTCGCTGAAAGATCTTCTTTCCACCATGTCACAAAAGCAGCAAGCTCAAGCTGCAGCGGCCATGAATGGCGACACCTCTCGCTCTAGTAGCCTCAACCTCCAAGATCCTCACATGACCCCAACGAAGCAATTCACTTTCCCTCGTATGGCACCCACCAGCCCATGGACAGACGAGCGCATCGGTAGTCCGAATCCATACTCTGTCGAGGGAGCCGCTAGTGTCGCAATGCTGGAGAAGATCATACGCGAGATGGTAACCAAGGATGGTCAAGAGCGCCTGGTAGCGAGTCTGCAGAAGCTAGTCGACAAGGCCACGGGAGAGACTGCCAAGAAGGTTACTGAGCTGGCCGAGTTCGTCAAGCAAGGCTCAGCCGGTGGCTTTATGAATGCAGCAGCTCCTGGATCGGCATCGTTCCAGCCTTCCCCAGGATCCGGTGCCTTGACGCGGACGATATCCGCTGATAGCAAAGCTTATTCCAGTCCAAAGGCTGCCGATTTTGTGAGCGAGGAGATGCTGAAGTTCCTCCGTAAGATCAAGGATAGTGTCGCCGAGTCAGGGTGTGTCACAATGGCCACCAAGACCCTCATCCAAGATCTCCGCGGTGAGGTACTCGGAATGGGACGGGAACTTGCTCGCAAGGTTGAGGAAGCAGAACAGGCCAGGCAAGTCGAAGCTGGGCCTGATTCGAGCGCATCAAACGAGGACATCAACGCCATCGTTCAAGAGGGCCTTGCCAACCTTAAAGACCATATGGACAAAGTCATGCGTGAGCGAAGACGGCAATCCATGTCATCTGTCGTGACGCGCACCACAGTCGACAATAACGAGGTCTACGACGTCGTCAAGCAAGCACTGGCAGAACGCGGCTTGGATCAACCAACACCCCAAGCTGCAGCTGTCGACAAAGAATCAATCATCAGTGCTGTTCGAGAGGCCTTTGACGGCGTCGAGATAAACCCGAACGTCGAAGTGCAACAGGTCGGCTTAGGGAATGATGAGATTTTGCAATGTCTTCGCGAAGGCCTACAAGACTTCAACGGCTCCGGCGCCGTCACGAAGGAGGAGATTGAGACCATGCTCCAGGACTCATTGCAGAAGATTCAGCTCCCTCCTCCTATTAACGAGGTCCACGAGATCCGCGAGGAAGTTCTTATGGCCGTGCGAGAGTCTTTGGAGGAACTGAAACCTGCACTTGCAGCTCAAAACCCGCCAACGGACGCTCTGTCAAGGGAAATGCTCGAGGAGGTGATTCGTCAAGCGCTTTCTGAGCAACAACCTGCGCCAATGGAAGTTGAGATCCCTCAAGAAAGCATCACGGAGGCTGTACAAAGCGCTTCACAGGCTCACAACGATGCTGTCATGGAACGTCTACAGTCTATGCTAGACGAGGTGAACACCCAATTCCAAGGTTTCTCTTCAGCCAACGGGCGTGAAACCGAGCAAGTTCTCCAAACCCTTCGTGAGGGACTGGACAGTCTCCGTACCGACCTCCAAGGCTCTGTCAACCAGCCCCGAGAGATCACCCAGGATGGCGAAATGATCGACGTCATCAAGGCTGAACTCGACAAGTTGCGCGAAGATGTTCAAGGCTACGTCGCCGAAGGTCCTCGTGGAGACCAAGCTTGGAGCCGTGGTGACATGGTAGAATACATCAAGTCTGAGTTCGAGAACCTCCATGAGAAGCTGAGCTCTCAGTTCCTTCCTTCTTCCAAGAACAACGAAGAGATTCTCGCTGCCATCAATGCTGGGTTCGACGAGATGAAGTCACAGGTTGCACTTCGATCGGAAGATGATGACTCTAACGATGACATCAGTGAGGCCATCAAGCACGAGTTCGATCAGCTGAAGGAAGTTGTTCTTGGCGATACCTCCAGCAACAAGAACGATATCCTTGAGAAGCTTCAAGCCGGTTTTGACGGGCTCCATACTTTGATGGGCGAGAAGCAGACTGCGACTACATCGAACGACGACATGCTAGCATCACTGAAGGAGGAGTTCGAGCATCTTCGGGAGACCTTGGGCGGCTCACTGACGAAATCCGGTGGCGGAGCCGAGAAAGATGACATTGTCGACGCTATTCGGGAACTCATCGACGGTTTGCACACATCCCAAGAGACTACTTCAAAGGACAACATCGCGCTCATTCGTGGCGAACTGGAGGCCTTGAAGGAATCATTTGGCAATGCCCTTGTGCCATCCAGTGACAACGACAAAGCCGAGATGATCATGGTTGTCAAGGCTGCACTGGATGATATCAAGACCAACCTCCAGTCTGCTGGCGTTAACGAAGAACTCCTAGAAGCTTTCCGCGGAGAGCTGGACCTTCTCCGCCAGTCTGACAACGTCACCAGACAACACAACCGGGCTGATACCGAGGAGGTCCTGGAAGCCCTCAAATTGGGTCTCGACGATCTTCAATCGCATCTGGACAAGAAGCTCGACACCCCCGACCGCAACGCGTCTGCTACTAGCGAGATCATGGATGCGATGAACGAGGGTCTCGATGGTCTGAGGGCCGACGTTTCCAAAATGGCGGAGAACACTGTCGACATGAGCGTATCGTACGAGATCTTGGATACGCTCAAGGAAGGGTTGAACGCGTTGCGTGACGACATCGACATGCTCAAAGGCGTAAGGCAGGAAACTTATGTCGAAGAGTATGTTCCTCTTCCTCCTGCTGGAAACGAGATTGCTCTCGCGAACGAAGCAGCAGGTGGAGAGTCAATGTCACGTGAAATTGTTGAGGAAGCTACGCAAGCGGAGCTCCCGCCGTCACCAACCCTGCCTCCTCAGCAATCGGCCGACTTGTCGAGAATGGAGCTTATGCTGGAGCAGATTCAGGATAAGGTCGAAGCCATGGATGCTGCTAGGGCTGAGCCAGTGCCATCATCCGAACCTGCTGCCGTGGCAGCTGGATCCGCTATGAAGGAGGACCTGGTTGCTATCGAAGAACTCCTGAAAGACGTGCAAGCTGCTGTCCTTGTCATGCAGGATCGGGAATCCGCACCACCTGCACTGGAAGGTGTCGCTAGAAAAGAAGACACTGATGCCATCGAGACTCTTCTCGCAAACACCAAAGCCAAGATCGAAGAGCTCGTCCTGCCCGACCCAGCCACTGCTGTCACCAAGGAGAACTTGGAGGATGTTGAGATCGTCGTACGTACCACATCCGAGGCCTTGGAGGCGCTCGCGAAGAAGTTCGAGGATGAAGGCGCGACGAAGGCCGACGTTACAGTCATTCAAGTCATTGCCGACGATATTAAACTTGCTCTTGACGAAATGAAGACAGCCAAGGCTGATGACGAGTCCAACCCACAAGCAACCAAGGCGGACATCGACGCTGTAACCCTGCTCGTGGACGATCTCAAGGTTAAACTCGACGACCTGAAGATCCCGGATCCAGAAGAGCTCCCCTCCAAGGCTGACTTGGAACAACTCACTGGCTTGATCCACGACTTCCGCGATAGCCACGACAAGATGAAGGACACCTACGAGGAAGACATCATGAAGACCGCCACCAACTTCGACGAACGTCGCGCTGAAGCTGCTCAACTTGTGGAAGATATCACTGGAGTCAAGACTGCCTTGGATGAGATGCGAGAGGAGATCAAGACCAACCTCATTGAAGGTGGTCCTATCGAAGGCCTCCAAGCTTCCTTCAAAACGTTGGAGGAGACTATCGGTGCTAACAACGTCACCGCTGATGTCAAGGAACTCATGGAGATTCTTTCGAGAGAGTTCGAGCGCGCTCACGGATCTATCGAGGGCCTCCAGAACGACCAAGCGGAGAAATCGGCACTTCATCTTGAGAAGCACGATGAAGTCAAGGACGCCATTGTTGCAGGCTTCACAGAAAGCCTAGAGGACAAATTCAACACGCTCATGGCGAAGTACGACGATGCTCAACTCCTGGCCGACGAACTTGCAAAGGTCATGAAGGAGAAGTCAGAAGAACAAGAGAAGATGCTCGAGAGCACCAAGGCAACTGCCGACGAGCTTCGTCTGACCATCGATACTCTTGGCGCTACTATCGCGGGTATGAATGATCGATTCGAAGGTGCCACTTCCCAATTTGAAGGTGCCTCTACCCAGTGGACGACCGACTCCTCAGCCGTCATCAGCAAGGTGGACGAAACTCTTGCGAAGTACGAAGAACAGAAACTCGCATTGATGGAAAAGCTCGATGAGCAGAAGCTTGAAACCATCGCAAAGCTTGAGGAGCAGAAAATCGAGTACATCGCCAAGCTTGAGGAGCAAAAGAACGAGACCATCACCAAGTACGAGGAGCAGAAGCTCGACGACAAGACTGAGCATTCTCACACTCGTGACGAGATCAAGAACGTCGAAAACGTCTTCAACAACATCCAGGATAACATTACTGAGTATCATCCCAAGTTCATGGTTGCCCTGCACGAGATTGAAGCATTGGTCAAGGCTCACTATGAGCACGCGCAGAAAGCCAAGGAAGAGGCAGATGAGAACGCTCGTGCTTGGAACGAAGAAGCTAAGGCTCGTTCCGAAGAATTGCAAACGCACTTTGCCAATCTGCCGAAGCTTCTCCCTGCGCCAGCTCCAGCTATCGAGCTTCCGGACAAGTACGACGATGCACCTGTGCAAGAGAAACTCGACAAGCTGCTTGCGATTGAACCGTCGCCAAATTACGATGACGGCGCGGTGCATGAGAAGCTTGACAAGCTCCTCGGTCATGCTGATGAGGCAGGTAAATCGGCAGGAAACCTTGAGAAGCTAGACGAGATCCACGCCCAAGTCAAGATAACCGCTGCAGAGCTGAGCGAGTTCGTTGCCAAGCAGACGCAGTTTATTACCGACGGCAATGAGTCTAAGGAACGCGAAGCTGAGGAACTTGGTCTGCTCATTGAACGCAGGACGACTCAGAAGGAGCAGCTGGAGATTGACTTGGAAAGCTTGCGAGCCGAGAAGGCGACACAGAAGGAGCAGCTCTTTGCGGACATCCAGGAGATGAAGGCCGAAAAGGAGCGTGTTGTGCAAGAACTGAAGGAAGAGAAGGAACGCGTCATGGCTGAACTGCAAGAAGAGAAAGATCGGACCATGGCAGAGCTCAAGGAGGAGAAAGACTCCCTCCTTGCTGCCGTCGCAAGTCTGCAAGCCGAGCGCGAGAACCTTGCGAACCAAAAGGTGCGCCTCACTGGCGAGGTCTCGTCTCTTCACACTGCGCTCGACATTCGTCGAGAGGAACTGCACTTCATGGACACCAAGGCCGATGCACTGGAGCGTCGCATCTTGAACGGTATCATGGATCACTCCCGTGCTCTGATGATGACCAAGGGTGGGTCGAAGAATGCTTCCAAACTCAAGAAGCGTATGAACGCAGAAGCTGGGAACGAAGACGCCAGGGCTATGCCCCCTCCCAGCACTGCAGCTAATGGACTCTCTCTTGCGCTCAAGCCTCGCCCTGCTATTCGCCGCGGGGCGCCTGCCAACCCAGCACAGCGCCGTATCTTGTCTCTCAGTCAAATCAGCGGCAACGCGCCCAATGGAGCTCAAGCTTACCCGGCAACTTCGACTCCAGCTAATAGCAAAGCTGGCGGACTGGGCCGCAGTCACTCTGTCAAGACCAGCAATTACTCTCGGAAGGGGTCTTGGGGTGGTCGTCCCAGCGCCGCTATCGCCAACAAGGAAAACGGTGTTCTACCTGAGGAAGATGAGCACGAGACGACGCCGATATCTCACGATATCATTGAGGAAGATGCACAGAGTGAGACCGGCACTGAGCGTCGCTACAGTCTCGACAGCCGCGACTATGCTGAAGGCGAGACACCAGGCTACGATGGACGCTCCAGCTTCGGCGGCACAGGGAGCGAGTACACATACGCTTCTGGTTCGTCGTACATGACCGGTAGCGACATTGATCACGACCGCCGTACCTCATACGGTGCGCAGTCGGCTCACTCTGCTGCTCGTGGCGAACAGCCCATCGACGAGGAAGGGTCGGTGTATTCCGATGACGAAGAAGACAATGAGCCCACGGCTACTATCAACCCCTCGGATGTCACTGGCTCGGAGATCTCGACCGCCACCGCTGACCACGACGTCGACCTGCCAACTCAGTCAGAAATTGTTCGTGCTGTTGATGCCGTCCGGGAAGAGATGAAGGAAAACTACTCTCCACCTAGCGACTCCGGGGTTGGCACTGATCTACCTACCGCCGACCTCAGTAACTCCTTAGTCGATGCTGACTATTTCCGACGTCAGGCTGAGGAGGAGGCGAGCACTGTCGGTTAAATCAACACCTACCAAATCTGTTAACGATTACTGAGTTACCTACGCTCTGATGTCTCGCTCCGTGTCTTTTGGTTTGAAGCTTCGACTCGCCCTCCTAGGGTTTCAGAGTTGGCATCGCCGACTGATATGTCGAGCTTGATAGTGGCGTGTTCTCCAGAATCGCGATGCACGATTGATGGCTTATGTGTATATGCCCCGGCACGATGGAGTTTGGTTGGCTTTGGTTCCTGTTGATCTGATGAGGGTTCACGAGGAATGATGGATTCGACGAACGTTTAGGAGTGTTGAGTTTTCCACTCGGAGTTCTTTACTTGAGGTTACATAGGCGCTAGGGGAAGCTATCGGCGGATATGCATTTGGGTTTATCGGCCTGGAGTTTGTTTGGTTACCTCACTTGAGTAACATTGCTGATTACATACATGTTCTTGTTTATAACTTTAGTCGATACGTAGGCTCTTCTCTGAGCGTAATGAAACGATCGCCTTCGTTCTTTGTTCCCATTGCCGTGGTCATGTGTCTTTCGACTTGTCCGAACTACTGTTGCATGACCATATTTATAGTCGTGTGTGAACAATAGTGCAGCAGTGCGCCCGGAGAATGTTTGACTATTACTCCTCATCATCATCATCATCATCCTCGTCTTCTTCTTTCTTCGCAGTCTTCTCATCGTCTCTCTCTTCATTTTCTTCCTCTTCCTTTTCGTGCTCCCCAATCTTTGCACCCAGATCACCCTCATAATCCGGTCTTACGACCTGTATGTCCTTCTTCGCAAGCGCAGATTCGATAAGAGGTGCTGAAGCGAGCAAAGCGTTGTATTGATCGATTGTAAGTGAGATACCCTGTGTACAGTGACCGTCAGTAAATCTATCATCATCTAAACACGTAGAGGGGAAGACAGGATCGAAACATCTTAAGTCATCAGCACATACCTTCTTGCCCGGTTTCGTCTCTCCAGAATCGGTAACATAGTACTCTCGTATACTAACTAGTGTGCTCTTGTTGAAGTCGCTTACAGTCACGCGTCGTTTTCCGCTGGTATTTAGCTAGGATCACCTTAGCACTATCCTCTCCGTTCTTCTCTTTGTTCCCCTTTCCTTGTGCAACTTACGCTGACATATGCATCGCCATTGTCGTCTGTCTTGAGCTCGGGTACCACTGGTACAGAGTCGTCGTCGTTGTCGTCTCCGGCCTTGGTCTTCTTGCTCGCGCGCGCCGCGTTATCGTCATCAGCGTCGGGCGAGGAACGTTTCTTTGGGAAAGTTTTCTTGAATGCGCTGCCCCCTCGGGCACCACCACGCTTGAAACCGGCCATCTTGTTTTGGGACGTGTAGATTGGGATGTGGAAAGTGGATGGTCGCGGTTTGACGCGCCACGCTGCTACTGGCGATGACGCAGGGCATGCGTTTCGCGCTAATCTGACGCGCTAGACACACGGTCACGTGATTAGGCGTTGCTTCAAGTATGCTCTATCACAACAATCTTCTGTGTTTCGATCATTCTTCTTGTACTATCAAAACGAGTGTCGAGCTATCTAAGGGTCGAGAGTTTGATCAGATCTACATGGCATGTATCACTCCGTCCCCATTCTGTACTGCATGTGCTTCACTCCATGGCCGTGAAGGTCGCATTTGCTGCACTTTGGATGGCTTCTCCAAACTTAGTGGCCCAGATATTTCCTTTTCAAACTCATACGAGATCCTTCCCTCTTGACTGAGAACTGAGTCTGCACGCCCCATCTCAATATCTTTGCCTACTGACGCTCGCCCATGCGCATTTTGCTCAAACAAAGTCGATGGTATACGCGGGTCGTACATAGTTGGGACGCGACTACGTGAAGGAGGTGGGACGACAGCGGCATATCCATGACCCATGCCGAGTGCCGATGCCGTGGGTTCAAATGAGCAGCTCTCCTTCTCTCGAGCGCGACGGCATGCGTCAATCGTCGCCGTAATGAATGTGACCAAGAAGAGGAACCATCCTGCGCCGGCTGCGATAGTGTAACCTCGGCTGAGATCAACCAGCATCGCGAACTTTGTGAGATCTGGAGAGGTAGCGGTGTCGAGGCGTGTTTTGCTGAAAGTCTCGAGACTCATGTTGAAGCTGAGAGACACGCCGAGGGCTGCGGCCATGGCACACATACAGAGACTTTCGATAGGAATGATGACCGATGAGGCTATGCGCATACGTTGGAGTATATTCGTTAAGACGATAATAATTCCGGCGAGTGAAGCAAAGGCGGCCTGCGTTGTTAGCACGCTCTAATAGACTAATAGTTGATTTACGCACACAGGCGATCGATATCCAGATCTTGATGGCGCCCGCTAGAACCGCAGTGAAGTAATCCTTCCAAAGCTGCGCCTGCTGCGGTTCTGGCTGGACCATCTCGAGTATGCCAGTACCACGGCGATTGATATCGCGAATGATGAATTGTGCTAAACAAATCGTTTAGGAACATTCATTGATACATTCAGTTGAGGACTTTGAATACTTACACCAAGTACCTAATCCTAGCGACCCCAACGCTATGATGAGGGCCAGGACCCTCAATGACAGTAGGATGGATTTGCCATATCCCATTCTTGTACACGAAGCCAACGAAGCAAGTAACCTGCAATGAGTGTATAGTATAAGCACAGTCCAGCTGGCAGCTGCTCACAGAGCGCTAGATGAAAGTAGGTGGTGTCTAAACGAGTGAGTGGTAGACACGGATAGAAATCCCTTGCTCAAGAGCGGACGAAGCATAGTTATTGAGCAAACGTCATATCGTACACAGAATCGGAGTCTCAGGAGCCGAGTGCCTTGTTGTGATGCCTTGCGCAGCTGGAGGGGGGTGGAAACAACCTAGGTGGCTGGTTGTGCCTGAGCATGCAGGCACACCTGATTCAGAACCTTCGATATTGACGCGCCACAGCATATCCCACGCGGGACTCTGCTCACCGACGCGTAACGGGACATAAGGTAGAGACCAGTGCCTCAGCAGAATCTTCTATCTGTACCCTTGCCTCTAGCCTCGCAGCTCATTGTTCAAGCATTCGAGCCGTTGCGGCATGGTGATTGGCTAGCAACCCCGAGGATTCTCCACGGAATGCTGCGATCCGCTATACAAAAGATGCATCCTCGCGCATTGATGGTGCTGACGTCCCGATAATTAGGAACGGCTGGGGTTATGCTTGTCTCTCCACGTGTTGACGGTGTTGAGACATAACCTGAGGCACCAAGGTGTCGCCGTTGCCAGGCTGAAACAGGCGTCAGACCCAGGAACTGAACCAAGGCTTTCCGGATCGTTCCGTCATCATATCGCTAGGCTGCTCTATAATAGGTGAAATTGACTTCGACGTTCGGTGAAGCTTTCAAGCACGACATCATGTCGGATACACTAAATTATTTCGGAGTTCGGGCAATTGATACCCGGAGCGGTCCCACGCGCCAGCTCCCGATAGCGCAGAGCAAAGGGGAGACGACTGAGTCGTGTACATACGTACTAAATGAAGGCATGGTACTCAGGCCATGCATCACGATGCTACGACCGCTACGGTGGTTTGTATCTGTCCTGCCCCCGAGTTGGAAAGTTCAGATGAAAGACGGGTCTCCGTGCACTTCTCTGCCTTTTGCATCTGAATTCGCTTTGCGCCTCTGAAATACTTTCAGGACCGAAGCAGCATGCTCATCATGAATAGAGATGTTGTGCATTCGAGAAATGCAGAGCGGGGCGATGCGATGAAGAATTCGCCGCCGAGGCTAGCCTCTCGGCAACGACGCAGTCGGGTCGGCCATCCTTCATACAGCAGCCATCGACACTTGTATCCGCTCTCCCCTCTCCGCCAAGACGAAATGCGGAGAACGGTTGGAGAGAACGGTAACATTGCGGAGGGCTCGTCACGAGGTTGTGATGGAAGCCCGTTGTTTTCCCGAATGACGCAGGTCAATTGCGAAAGCATGTAAAATTTTCGAGAGTATTTAGCTTCGCGTGATTCTGAGAGCTGCAAACATTTTGTCGAAGACGAGGGATTTACAAGATGAGGTACTCCAGTGCCGTCGCAGCGAGCTTTGCTCTGTTGCCAAATCTAGTAGTCTCGCAAGGATACACCAATGAGTCCGAAGTACCGCTATACGGACTTAGCCCACCAGTATATCCCAGCCGTAAGTGTTTTGATCATGTCGAGGAATCAACAAACTAACCGTACGTAGCTGTCGGTAATGGAACAACCTCGTCGGGTTGGGCGTCAGCATATGCTCGTGCGAAAGACCTCGTGGCTCAATTAACACTGGAAGAGAAGTCGAATCTCACACATGGCGTCTCTGGGCCCTGTGTAGGCCAAACGGGCGCTGTTCCCCGTCTCCAGATTCCAGAGTTATGCTTTGCAGATGCTCCTGCAGGTGTGCGAGGACAGGAGTTTGTGTCATCATTTCCTGCTGGCATTCATCTTGGAGCAACCTTCGACAGGGACCTGATGCTCAGGTACGGTCATGCTCTTGGTAGAGAATATAGAGGCAAAGGGATTCATGTTGCTCTTGGACCATTCATAGGCCCTATTGGAAGAGTCGTGCGCGGTGGCAGGAATTGGGAAGGTCTTGGTGCTGGTAAGTGTCCATATACGAACTGCATGTGACACGGATACTAAGTTCGTACGCCTACGTCTAGACCCGTACCTTGCCGGTATTGGCGGTGCGCTTATCACCAGAGGTACACAAAAGGAGGGCGTGATTGCTACACCAAAAGTATGCGATTCCATTGTGTTCATACGAATCAGAAGCTGACAGCACCAACAGCATTGGCTTGCGCAAGAGCAAGAGTATAGGCGGCGCCCCGGTGACGAGGGCGAGGCAGTCTCCTCAAATGTAGACGACCGTACACTACACGAGCTCTATGCGTGGCCGTTCATGGACGCCCTACGCGAAGGAGCAGGCTCGCTGATGTGTTCATACCAGCGTGTGAACAACTCATACGGATGTCAGAACAGCAAGCTTCTCAATGGCATTCTGAAGGAAGAGTTAGGATTTGAGGGCTTTGTCGTATGTACTATACCGACTGTTACCAAGACGTCACTAATAACCTATAGGTATCTGATTGGGACGCACAACATGCTGGTGTTGCTTCAGCGAATGCAGGCCTTGACGTAGTGATGCCAGTCGCTAAATTCTGGGGCGGAAATCTTACTGACGCTGTCAACAATGGATCCGTAACAACGGAGAGACTGGATGACATGAATACACGACTTCTTGCAGCGTGGTTCTATCTCAACCAGAACGAAGGGTTCCCAGAAAACGCTGTATACCCATACAACGTAGAACACGAGATTGTGGATGTACGCAAAGACCATGGGTCACTCATCAGAGAAATTGGAGCTGCCGGAACCGTGCTGGTCAAGAACTTCAACAACACCCTACCGCTTCGCAATCCTCGTTTTCTGAACATCTATGGCTATGACGCTGAAGTGAAAGCTCAGCCTTGGAACAACCCTTCCCGCTTCGGTGGCGGCTACGAAGAGAATTTCGGTTGGAATACACTCAACGGCACTTTGATCACAGCAGGTGGTTCGGGCTCCAGCACTCCGCCATACGTGATCAGTCCCTTCAAGGCTATCCAAGACCGTATCATTGCAGATCGCGGAACACTACGATGGGACTTCTTCGGTGTAAACCCAACTGTATACGCCAACGCCGATGCATGTCTCGTCTTCATCAACGCCTACGCATCAGAAAGCTTCGATCGCACTTCACTCACAGACGAGTTTAGTGACCAGCTCGTCAACAACGTTGCTACCAACTGTTCAAACACGATCGTTGTGATTCACAACGCTGGTATCCGCACCGTAGACGCCTGGATCGACCATCCAAACATCACCGCCGTTCTCTTCGCCGGCGTCCCTGGCCAGGAGAGTGGCAACGCCATCGCCGATGTTTTGTATGGCGATGTGAACCCTTCTGGTCGCCTGCCATATACTGTCGCTCGGAAAGAGTCTGATTACGGCCATTTGCTGAACGGAACTGTCGATCTCTCCATCCCGGCTTTCTTGCAATCGAACTTTACCGAGGGTCTGTATGTCGATTACCGCGCTTTCGATGCGCAGAACATCACACCACAGTATGAGTTCGGTTACGGCCTTTCGTACACGACATTTGATTATTCAAACATGACAGTTGAACGCGTGGCGAACGCGAGTCTTTCTGCTTTCCCGTCATCGTCTGTGCCGATTGTACAAGGAGGTCATCCATGGCTATGGCAAGTGTTGTACCGCGCCACAGTCACTATTACCAACACTGGCAAGGTCGCTGGTCATGAGGTGGCGCAGCTGTACTTGGGAGTACCCAATGCGCCGCAAAGGCAGCTGAGAGGTTTCGAACGCGTAGGTTTATTGCAGCCTGGCGAAAGTCGAGAGGTTGAATTTGCATTGGACAGGCGCGATCTGAGTGTCTGGAATGTTACCGCGCAGTCATGGGAGCTTCAGCGAGGCAGGTATGCAGTTTGGGTGGGAGCAAGCAGTCATGACATAAGGCAAGAGGGTGAGATTGTAGTAGAATAGGTTGGTAGAACGAGTTAACAGTATTCAACATCGTTTTATGTCATCCTCGAGGCTTTTGCGTTTGCGACATTTTGATTCGAGAGCCTCTTTTACATGTGGAGAATATGGATTTCAGGATTTGTGAGTGGCTAGTCGTCGGTTCGGGTTATCGCAATACCATGGCTGAAATGGATAGCAACCATGGTATTGCAATTGCGCGCACATCCGTCATCCTCGAAATTTCTTATAAAGTCTGTAAATTGTTGTTTCTGATTATGCACATGTTAGCATCTATACAAGCTGTCCAACGAGCTTGATGTAAACAAACTTACAAGGTAAAACTTACATTATACTCGAACTCCCTTTCACTCTTCCGAGAATTACATATTTCTAGTGCCTGAGCCGTAGCAGGCAAGAGTGCACAGACGTACATACTGTTCCGTGAGGATCAACAGCTTGCACTCGCTGCTGTTGGGCCCCCCTTTTCCAGGCACCCTCTTCTTGGCTTTATATCAATCCCAGCTTTATAGTAGTATTACTCTTCTTCAGGTCCAGTAAACTCAACCTGAAGGTCTACAATTCTCTCAACCCAATATATCAAATCTACCAATGGTCAAGAGCATTAACTACCCTTTATCAGTAAGTCAGTTCCAGTCTTCTCCTCTAGTATGGTTGCTGATGAATCCTAGGAGGATATCCAGAAAACCTACATAGATGTTGTACAAACGATCGAGGAAAAGTCCGCTTCCAAGGACCAGTTCGAGAACATATCCCTGCTTTTAGCCTTCTAGGAGCTTGGGAAGATCGCGGAAGGTTACATCGAGTACGCCAACGAATCCGGTTATGTGGAAGACTGGGTAGAAACTCGCTTCAACGATGACGATGTCTTCCAACGTCTAAGTCATGCATGCATAGGTTATATCGAGTATGAGCATCAGAAGACGTCGGCTGACGGCGAGTTCTTCAAGATGATGCGAGCTGGGTTGAAGTCAATAGCACATACCTACAACCCTCCCTCCGCCAAAGGAGAATTCTTCGACATGGTTAGAGCTGGTATGAGGACTATGAAGTACGCCTACAATCCTACGCCAATGGATCTGCTTTCCTACCCGCCCTTGCCAGACGCACTGCAAAGAGTATATCGCCATGTGGGATACACACCATTCGAAGACATAATCTTTCTGGATATGGTAGCTTCATTCGAGAATGCTTACTTCTGGTGTGCTTGGGGTCATGTCTGGACCGAACGCTGGGGTGACGAATGTTTCTGCGACCGTAGGCAGAACCAATACTGGTGGACACCCAACATACTCGACTACCGCGATGTCCCGACAGCCGTCACATATATGTACGAAACTACCAATGGCCTCGGTTGCGTTGAAGATGTTGTCTTTCGAGATCTGGTTGAGACGATTGAACAGTACATGGAGTATGCCAACGACTTCGATAACTGGAATGACCCAAAGATTGCCGCTTTCCGCGAATTCTCGGTAGTGGTGGACTGCGTCTCGTATGTTTGCCCAGACCACCAGTGGTTCCAGCGATTTCTCAGCCTGCCTGGGGAGCTCCGGGAGAATATCACGCACGTGTACCTCTTGCTCGAGAGTGATGCTGGTCGCCTGAGTAAGCACCAGCACTACGATCAGTTCAGTAACCCATGCTGCACATGGAAGTATCCCTGGGAGCTTATTGCTTGCGACAATCAAGAGGCGAAAGCATTCCCAGAGGCTAGTACAGGTCGATGTCCCATGGGTTGGTTGCCAAACCTTGCATTTGTAAGCCATCAAATGCACGAGGAAGTCCTCGTTATGATGCTGCGACGGACCGAGCAGTTCAATCTGAAGTATATGTTTCGCAACACGGATTTCAAAATTGCGACTTGGTTTAGCAAGTTCCTCAAGGCGATTCCGGGTAACGGAGGTGAAGAGGCGGTGAGACATCTCAACTTTCCACACATGCACTGGTTCAATCATGGACGCAATTCGCCAGCTCTGACCAACTCGAGCTTAGACTTGGCCATCGTTTGCAAAAAGCTGCGCAAACTCGACATGACCTTCCATGTCGACAAGGTAAGCATATGTGACGAATCCACAAGTTATGAGCGCAAATCGCTTCCCCTTCCTGAGGTGATTAATCGCTTCAAACTGGAGACAATTTTCGGCTGTAATAGCCTAGAGGAAGTGTATATTGACGGCATATACGTCCGACCAACACAAGGAGGCGTCATGACAGATTTGGACGTGCTAGAGGACCTTGGCAAGTGGATGATGATGGGCTTCCTCGTTCGGCGAAACTTGGAGCACGGTATCCAAGTCGAATTGGCGCGCCGATGGGGTGCTTGGAGAGGACGTGCTGGTGGGGTCCTGGTTACCCTAAATAACACCGACATGGCACACGTCATGACGCGCATCGGGTTCAGAAACGCGTATACAAAGACTCTGGCTGTGGCTGGGCCTGCTCCGATCATATAGATGAAGGCTGTAAGTACTTTAGACAGAGGTTTGTTGGTCCGAGTATAAGCTAGCTGACCGGGATGTTGATCACCCGGGGATGTTGATCACTCACAAATCTCAGCACTCCCACACAAAACACGTGTTTATTTTCTTAACGTAGCTATAATTGCCACTCCGTACACATAGAC